CACCATCGTGGCTATGCCTACGGCAGCCACCATGGTGGCAGCTCACGGCGAGATGGGGACTCACGGTGAATGCCTTACCTTGCAGTCACAAGCTTAGGCCCACACCACTTTGTAGCAGCACAAGTTGTTGCCCCGGTAGCGCAGGCCCAAGCCTCGTCTACTTGGCACACGTCCCAATATGTAGCCCATGCTGCAAGGCAGTTGAGCCAGGCCTAACACGAGTCGGCTCGAGCCACTACCTTAGCAGCGTAGGCCCAAGCCTAGTCCACTTGGCACACGGCCTAATCTGCAGCCCGCGCTTCAAGGCAGCCGAGCCAGGCCCAACATGAGTGGCCTGAATCACTACCTCAGCAGCGCAAGCCCAAGCAGTTATGGTAGGAAAAGCAGCCTAGCGCTCGCGCAGGCCTAAGGCTAATGCCAGCCCAGCGCGCTCCCGAGTAAAGCCCAAGCCTAACACCCACACCCACCGTACACGGACAATCCAAGCCAGTTGCCCGACCCGTTCCCACGGTCCAATCCGAGGCCTAACCACTCTCGTGGCCCCCCAAGCAATCCCAACTGGTCCAAGACCGGTTCAACCATCTCGGCTTCAAATCTGGACCGACGATTGAACTGGGGGTATTTTCACCCCATTTTTCCATAAATTTATCATTCCTAACTTAAATCTCGCACCCAAAGTCCATTACACTTCCACTACTTAAGGAGAAGTATACAGTCCAAGCTCTTCCACCCCAAATGGCGAACAACACTTATATCGACAAGTCATAAAGTTGACAAACGTCTTTGCGCAACAGACTACCTTGTTGAATTAGGTCTTGCAACGTACCGAGATGTAGCGTGCCCCAGACAAGATGTTCTAAAGTAGGACAAGGGCAGACGACAAACCTCTCCAACAGCATCCCGGCAAGCAGCCACTCGACTAATCATGAACCAAGTGTTCTGGCAGTGTACACTCCCAACTAGGCCCCTAAGATAGCGTATACTCTGATCTTAGTGCACAGAGGAGCGTGCACTCTCGGTTAGGCCCATAGACAAGCATATATTCACAGTTGGGGCCATACTCCGATAATCAACATGAGCAACCTTACAGGTAAATTGTTCATTCGTGGTTAGGCTTGTAAGGAGCATCATCCACCTCATATCGGAGTAGGCAACACAACGGACGAAGATAAGTAGTCACTCAATTCGGCTCAAATTCAACCAGCAACCTGCAAGTAATTCGCTTGCATGCTAGGAACGTACTACATGCACCGCAGCCGTGACATAGACGAACCGAGCACATGGAAGAGAAGCCTAGACTAATAGGTCACGACCTGGGGTAGCCGGAAACTCCACTGCCCCTACTTGAGGAAAATTTAGGAAGAAGTGAAGATGCTCATAATCGAACAATTGCGTGATTTCCAGTGCAACAAAGCTTGATGATGCGCTCTGACACGATATAACCAACATAAGCGGGTCACATTTCATTGACAAGATCAAGTAGACAGGATTATCCCACATAGATTGTCGGATACAAAGATTATTTATATTCCGACAAACGTAGCAGTTCAGCCTAATGGCGCGCCGGGGGCAGACGAGTACTAGAAGGACACACCAGCCCAACTACCAAGAACGCACCAGCCCAACTTCTAAGGACCAGGGGCAAACTTTGTTCTCAACACTTCAGATAGTTCAATACTGAAGTAGCACATCATCAGTAGCTGAGCATCACAGACCTAGTGGTTTAATTCATCTTCCAGCGCACAATATGGCCCAAGCTAGCCCTAGTTTTGCACTCATAGCATGCCTACCTGCTTCACGGCTCACGACAACCCTTGATCTATCGCAATGGCTCCTAACTGTGCCGATCTTGCACCACGACTCCCAACCGTGCCGATTTTGCCCCATGGCTTAACCGACCAAACCCATGACACTCCAAACTTCAAAGCATCCAATAATAGAGCAGAGTTTGTTAGCAACCCCTGCTAGTGAAAGATTTAACGATGAAGAAGCTTGTAATCCATTTAGATTCTCAGCTGATCACCAACCAAGCCTCAAAAGGACACACGACGAAACATTTAACGATGACGCAATACTTAAAGAAAGTCTAGGAGTAGCTCACCGTGCTTCCTATGTAAACCCTTACGTAGGTTCCATAAGCAGTTCGAAGTCTTAACCAGATCACCGAACAATACCTCACAGGTTGAGGATTATTTTAGTTATCCAGCTTTCCTCAACTGCACTCATTACGACGACTTCCATGCTCTCTAGTGCGAGATGGTAAATCAATTCCCCAACACCCATTTGGGTCTACTATCCAGTGCGAGAGGGTAAACCAATTCCCCGACACCCATATAGGTCTACTGTCCAGTGCTAGAGGTTAAACTGATTGCTCTCCAATGCGAGAGGGTAAAGCAATTCCTCGACACCCATATGGGTATGCTCTCTAGTGTGAGAGGTTAAACTAATTGCTCTTTAGTTCAAAAAGGTAAACAAAACTCCCCGATACCTATATGGGTAAGCTCTCTAGTACGAAATGGTAAACTAATTCCCCAACACCCATCTAGGTAAGCTATCTAGTGTGAGAAGGCCACATAGCTCAAAAGATTGAATACTTGAAGACCAGCTAAGCAGCAAATGGTTAGGGGGCAGCAGCCACTTCGCGCTTACTTCATCTTTAACAGCTTCGATCTTGGCAACTCCATCCTTGATTATTCCATCTATGGCAGCTGAGAAATCAAACTCAAGCAGTTTCCTCATTTTTGGCAAGCTGCTTAGACGTGGCAGCCCAAACCGTGGCCTATGCCACACCATTTCCTCAGCCCATGTTGTCATGCCCCGATTCCGACATACGTCCAAAATAGACGCGTGACGTCACCAATTATTCGTATATCTAACATACCCTACCTCCAGGATATGTACAAAGCATAGATCAAGATTCGACTGACTATTTCTGAAACTGAACATTGGCGCTACACTATTTTTTAAACTGAACATTGACTATTTCTTAAATTGAACAATGGTATTATCACTATTTCTTAAACTGAAGACTAACTATATCTTAAACTGACTATTACTAAAATTGAACAGGATACTAATTTTGAAACTGAACACGAGTTGGCGTGCGCCTTGCATGCTTTTGGTAGATTTTTTTTCTTTTCCTTTTCTTTCATTTATCCTTATCATTAAATAAAGTTATAAGATGGCATTTTAGTTAAAATTAAAAAATTTGAAGCTATTTTCATTAGTTTTCCTTTAATATAACTCCCTACTACCCATGAAGCACATATACAATACTATTCCAATACTCCCGAATAATCGACGGATCCAAGTATTCTGCTATTAGGATACCGTTACAATTTCAAATGAGAAATTAAGAGGAGAAAATTAATAGGAAACAAAGATTTTGCTGAAAATTGATGAATACAAAAAGCTTGCCTCTAATTGTAACAAGGAATATAACTCTCTCTTGAATAAACTTGATCATGGATGTTTTCATGTACATATTTTTATTGTCATATCTATGACGTATCTGTGGATGCAAATTTCTGTCTTTTTCTTCATGGACGAAAATGCACTTGAAAACAGTTTAAGAAATAGTGAGGGAGAGGAGAGACAGTGTGATTGTGCCTCAATTTTTCATTACTTTTTTTATTTTGTTTTTTAATATATTAAACTTGTGTCATCTTCAAATTTGTGTCCCCTTCGTTAAAACTTAAGTTTTTTTCATTATTTTTAAGTTTTTTTTCAATAAATAAAATTATTAAATGATTTTTGGTTAATACAATGTTTGGAGAATTCTTTTTCATTAAAGCTTCTTTATTGATACCAGGAAATTTGTTGACGTTGAAGACGACTAGTACAGGAAATTTGTTGATGATGAAGATGACTAGTAGAGCAAAAATGATAGATAAGGCACCTAATAATAATCCACTGAACCCAGTTTTCATCAATAAAGGTTTTAAATGAAAATTTTAAGTGAATTTATCCAAGAATAACATTAACAAAATAATACCAGATATTTTGAAGAATAAAAAATAAAGAATTGAAATAAATTAGTATTTAGAATAAATTCAAATTAAGAATTATATGTCTCTTTTCTTATTTTATACATTTACAGTTATTTACATAAAAAGTTTTCAAACACTAGAATACTGCTTTTTTTTTTTTTTTTTTGGTTTTTGTTTTTGTTTTTTTTTTTTGTTTTTTGTTTTTTTTTTTTGCTAAAAGCACTTTACAACTAAAATTTATTAAACACTTTACTCCTTTATTTCTCAATTTTATTATCACAACATAGTACAAAACCCTATTAATTAATAAAACCCTTTTTGTCAACTAAAAGAAGATGAAAAGACAAATTAGTCTTCTATAACACAAAAAAATGATGGGCAATAATGTAATTTCACAAATCCAAATTATTGAAGCCTCACTTACAAGTGATGTTAAAATACCTCTAATATTTATAAAAAAATAAAAAATAAAAAACCGAAAACAAAAACAAAAACCTCCCACTCCCCCCTCCCCACGTTCTCTCTCTCTCTCTCTCCTTTTCATTTTTCTAAAAAAAATGTGTTCATACACATTTTATACACACAAAATGTATGGACAAACGTTAGTTATATATTACATAATCTTTCGAAAAGATGGTTACCGTGGCGAAATCACATCCTATCTCTTTTAAAAAAAAAAAAAAAATTATATATTACATAGTGACCTAAAAATAAATAACGCACTATTATATTAGTGGTAGACTAATTGGGAACCTGGAATGTTTGCCCTTCCCATCCTATACCCTTCTGATTCTTTCCTATTTCTGTGATCACGGTGAAACCACGTCAACATTTTATATTGATTTTTTTTATAGAAGTAATAAGATAAAAAACAATAGGAATATAAAATATTAACGTGACTTAATCGTGATCACAGAAATAGGAGGGAATAGGAAGAGTATGGAATGGGAAAAGTCCACTAGTTGGTCTCCATTTGATTATTATTCTATTAAGATGGGGAACATAAAGTCTGACAGGTACTGGATGTGGTTTGTTATACGCATCTCCAAGTCTCCCATTGTTTTATGCATCTCCAAGTCTCCCTTCTTTCAGTTCCCAATTCCATTTGCAAATTACAAGAAACTAAAAAATGGCTTTGGAGGTTGTTGGTGGAGCTTTTCTCTCAGCTTTATTTCAGGAGGTATTTCGTATGATGGCTTCTCGGGAGGTCATGGACTACATCAGGGGAAAGAAACAGACACAAAGATTACTAGACAAGCTGAAGAGCACGTTACGATCTGTTAATGTTGTTCTTGATGATGCTGAGGAGAAGCAAATTATCAACTCCGACGTGAAAGAGTGGCTCGATGAGCTTAAAGATGCGGTCTACGATGCTGAGGAACTGTTGAGTGACATCAAAACAGAAGTACTAAAGCGCAAGTTGGAAGCTGATCGATCTGGAAGTAGCACCAGTAAGGTACAACAACTTTTCTCTGATTCCTTTCCTTCTTTTGACAAAGGAATAGACCCCAAGATCGAGGAAATTTTTGAGAGACTGGATTTTATTGCAAAGGAAAAAGATGTCCTCGATTTGAAAATAGGTGTCACACATAGAACAAAGATGAGATTACTTGCAACTTCTTTGGTGGAAGATTCAAGTGTGTATGGAAGAGAAGAGGACAAGGAGAGGATCACTAAACTTTTGTTATCCGATGATGTGATCGACGATAGGATAAGTGTCATTCCTATAGTGGGTATGGGCGGGATCGGAAGGACCACCGTTGCTCAGCTTGTATACAACGATGAAAGAGTGAAGCAGCATTTTGACCTTCTAGCGTGGGTTTGTGTTTCAGACGAATTTGACATTGTTAGAGTCACACAAGTAATATGTGGCTTCGTCACATTACAAACTTGTGATATCGCCGACCTAAATCTGCTTCAGGTTAAACTTAAGGAAGCTTTGACAGGGAAGAAGTTTCTCTTTGTTCTTGACGATGTCTGGAATGAGAACTACATTCACTGGGATATATTAAGGCATCCCTTTGAATTTGGAGCACATGGAAGTAAAATCATTGTCACAACGCGTAATGAAAGCGTTGCGTCTATGATGGGTACTCTTCCAGCTCACCATTTGATACAGATATCCGAGGAAGACAGTTGGTGGTTATTTGCAAAGCATGCCTTCCAAAATGCCAGTGTCATTAGCGCGCATCCCAATCTTGAAGTAATCGGAAGACAAATTGTTAGAAAGTGTAAAGGACTTCCTTTAGCTGCAAAGTCACTCGGGGGTCTCTTACGCTCTAAATTCAGTATGAAAGAATGGGAAAATGTACTTAAGAGTGACTTATGGGAGTTGTCAAATAAGGAAAGTAACATTCTGCCAGCTTTATGGTTGAGCTACTATTATTTGCCTCCACATCTTAAGCGTTGTTTTGCCTATTGTTCGGTGTTTCCCAAAGGTTATGAATTTACAAAATCAAGATTGGTTTTGCTGTGGATGGCCGAAGATTTCTTACGACAAGAAAAGAAGAAACCGTTGGAAGAAGTTGGAGTTGACTACTTCAATGAGCTAGTATCAAGGTCATTTTTTCAACATTCATCAAGTGTTCACAATGGTTACATCATGCATGATCTCATCAACGATTTAGCAAAGTTTGTATCCGGAGAATTCTGTTTGCGGTTGGAAGACAATGACTCATTCGACATTGTGAGGAAGACACGTCATTTTTCATTTTTGATCGGTAGGGATGGTCGTGATTATGAGAAATTTGAGGCTTTATATAAAGCAAAGTATTTGCACACCTTCCTATCATTACCGCAACGGAATCCAACATGTTCGTCATTTCAATTGTTGGACACGGTACTGAATGATCTATTGCCATGGCTACAATGCTTAAGAGTGCTCACTTTATCATACTACACAATTAAGGAGTTGCCTAACTCGTTTAGCAACTTGAAACATCTAAGGTACTTGGACCTATCTTCCACTCTACTGGAAAAGTTACCTGAGACATTGTGTACCCTGTATAATTTACAAACGCTGTTGGTATCTTATTGTCGAGCTCTCACTCAGTTGCCAACTAACTTGGGAGCACTAATCAACTTGCGTCATCTTGATATCGAAGGTACAAAGTTAGAAAGGATGCCACCACATATTGGAAAATTGAAAGATCTACGGACGTTAAGTGAGTTTGTCTTGGACAAATGTACTGGGCATAACATTGTAGAGTTGAAGGAGCTTAAACATTTGTGTGGAAAATTTCGTATGGTAGGGCTTCATCATATTGACAATGTCACGGATGCATCGGAGGCCAGTATACGGGACAAGAATTGCCTCAATGAGCTAAGTTTGGAATGGGAAGGTGACACTGACAACTCACAAAAAGATAGAGAAGTGCTCGACAGCCTCCAACCCCATACGAACATAAAAATACTCAGTATCCATTTTTATGGAGGTACAAGATTTCCTAGCTGGTTAGGAGATTTTTCTTACTCCAATTTAGTTGGTCTGAAACTTGTGAACTGTGGAAACTGTTGCTTCTTGCCACCACTGGGTCAGCTACCCTCCCTCAGAGATCTTTCTATTGAAGGGTTAAATGGAGTGGTGTCGATAGGTCCTGAGTTTTATGGCTACGGCGGTAGTTGTGGAATCAAGTCATTTAGATGTCTGAAAGTTTTGAAATTCTGCAATATGCAGGAGTTGCAAGAATGGTGTTACATTGGATTTAATGAAGACGATGGAGCTTTCCCCAATCTTTCCCAGCTCGGTTTGCTGATTTGTCCCAAGCTAAGCCGAATGTTACCACTAGACTGCTTCCCAAAACTTGAAAAGCTGAAGTTGTTTGGAACTAATCTAGAATCCCTTACTGTTTCACAAGAATCTCACTCTTCTAGTCTCCTATTTTTCAATTACTTGGATATATTTTTATGCCCAAATTTTGTTTGTTTCCCCAATGGAGGGTTGCGAGCACCCAACTTGACCGAGATAAAGATCTGTGGGTGTGAGAAATTGAGGTCATTGCCGGAACAGATGCGCACCCTTCTCCCATCTCTTCATTTTATGCTCATTAGAGACTGCCCGGAATTGGAATCATTTCCCGAAGGAGGACTTCCTTCACAAGTAAAATCACTTTCCATCTTTTCTTGCAAAAAGCTCATTGCAAACCGTATGCAGTGGGGTCTACGAACACTCGCCTCTCTCAGAAACTTGAAAGTTAGCTTTGAAAACAGTGAAGAACCTGATATGTTTCCTGAGGAGGGGCTGCTCCCCACCACTATCACTTCTGTCTTCATCTCACATCTTTCAAATCTGAACGGCAAGGGGTTTAGACATCTCACCTCCCTTGAAAACTTGACAATTGTGGAATGCCCTGAGCTCCAGCGCTTGCCAGAGGAAGGGCTACCTGCTTCTCTTTCTGAGTTGATATTGAAGAAATGTCCTTTGCTACAGCAACGTTGCCAGAGTGAAGGGGAAGATTGGCCCAAGATTGCTCACATTCCTCGCATAGAGATCGATGGGGAACCCGTATAAATATCTTAGGGGGTCCAACTTCTTTTGGTGGTAATTATCTACTCTCTATCATATACAGTATCTGTAGTCTGTACCTGTAAGTTATAAAAGTAGTGATTTTCATAGTGCTTACTTTTACGGACCTCTCTTCTCTTTGGAAATAATCTTGTTTGCATTTCATTTTTATTGTTTTCTGTACTTCTTGTTGTAATGCTAAGTTGGAGAGTGACTGAAACTGAAGAGGGTTTCCTCTTCTACTGTGTTTATCCCTAAAATTTGACGTGTTCATTCGATCACAATTTGACAGGTTCATTCGATGCCACTTCTCAAATTCTGTTTCAAGATTTTCCGTTACTGATGGACAAGGTTGCTTCTGCTTTCTTTCTTCCAAATTTCAGTGTTGGGGACTTGTGGATCTGTTGTTGACAATCATGAGGCCGCTGATTTCCTCAAAGTTCCATATGCTGACTTAGTAGTCCTTCCACAGGGCTGTTCCTCCTTCCCACCGATGTTCTTTTCAATTTTCAAGATTTTCTCCGCACTGTTCGCTGAGGAGTTTTTCCAGTAGTGTTTTGTTTTTCTACCAAATCAAAAAATGTGACTGTGAGTGTGAATGCAAAGGTTTGCCAGGTAATGCTCAATTCAGACATCTTTGAATATACATTTTTGCATCAAAATTCATTATTCAAATCCGATTACTAATAACTCTACCCACACTCTGTATTCATAGTCTTATAATCTTTAATTAGCATCAATTGTGACAGCAGTTTGCTATTAAAATTTTGACAGACTTCTCCAGTCGATTTCTTTCTTGTGGACCAAGTTAGAGCATTTGAATGCACGTAGCAGCGATCGAAAGATAATTGCAGATGGTTCTACATCAGGCACCAATTTATATCTCGCTTGCAGCCGTGTTCTCTTTTCTACAGTCCTTTGCTTTTGTTCCGAAATAGTTTTTGCGAGCGTAAGATGTAATATATTGAACTGATTACAAGATGCCTAGTTTCCTCGACTGGTTTACTGTATCTGCTATTGGTTTTTTGTTTTGATAGAAATGGGACGTTCAACCATCATAAGGCTTATGACATAGTGCAATGCTTTTTTGGTTTTCCGTTTAAGAAGTGGCCACAACGACCAAGGCTGTTGAATTCTTTAGAACAATTTTAACGTCGTTCTGATAAAAACACTTGGCAAAAGCACTTAAAAGCATAACTGCTTAACTATCCCAAACAAGCCCAAGATGCATACAGTACGCTTACCCTTATCGTTATGCCAAAGCACATATTGCAAGTTAAATGGCTACTTGCCATCTCATCTCCAGAGGCAATCGACCAATTTCGCCATAGACGCGAAATGGTTTGCCCATAGTAGTCTTCAGGTTCAAGCATCGTACCTGATAAAAGTAAAATAAATATACATTAGAACATGTTATTGACAATAAAATAACAAACAGAATTGTCCGGAAGTTCAGCCAGATAACAGGAGAGAAGTTCTTTAAAAGAGAACCGGAACAGGGAAGATCCGCTTCTCTTCCATGGAGACATTTCCTACAGCAAGTTCCATGGGCAGATGCTTCTTCAATTGGACCTCGATCATTGCTTTTGTCTCGGAAACCCCTTCGACTTGAGGGATTCTTGGTGAGTAACAAGGGTAGGAAATTTCCTGCCTTGTGATACAACATCACTGAAAACAGAAATAGCACACGGCGCTGCAGTTCATAACCCCATAAAGGATTCATTACAAACACCGAATCTACAAGCCAACGCAATAGTAAAAGAATGTATGCCAAGCATAAATCAAGTCACTAAGCGAGCACCAACAAGCCGACTGCATAAATAGCAGCTTCTGATGCCAAAGAGGCGTGGTATTTCTTTGCCAACTTCTTAACCTACTTCTACTTCTTGTTTAAGCATTTTCAGCCCTTCAACATCCATATAGTCCAATCCAATCTTTTCAGCCTGTAGAAACAATCCACCAGGACCTCTCAATACAAAATAACCAGGTGGGTCATCCCTAGTATGCGTACGTATGGTCCCCCAATACAAATTAACCAGGCAGGACCATAAACATACACATAATAGTATGGTCTCCCAATACGGATTAATCAGACAAGACCATTCATGTACCACACTACCACATGGTGCAGTTACATCAGACATCATACATCCTACATCTACATCAACACACATGATTTGCTTTGTGAGGATATACACTGTCAAATCCACATGACAATCAAATATCTAGCCACCCAGATATACAAGTTCTACTAGATAATTTTAATATGATCTCTGGCTCATCTTCATAATAGCAATCACACATATCATTTATCTCATATAGGAATTCAATAAATAAGTAAATCCTAGTAAGGTGCCACCTGCACGTAACCTGAGGTGCACATCCTCAAGATCCGTCATTGACTGAAGCAGGCCCACTAAGCTCTATTAGACCTCTAGTAATGCTAACTTCCGCCATCTAAGAACGATTTAAAACATGTTGACCAAAAATCAACTCTCGTCAACGATATGATCAACCACCCTACATGATCCAATTTGGAAGATCTGCTAATTGGATTTCCAATATGTAAATTCTTAAGAGCTTCATATTAATCCCACAACAGTATATTAAAATTTCATGATGCAACGGTCGGATCGTCGACTGTTATCAGTCGAAGCTCAGTTATGGCTGGAAGATGACAAAATTTGTCGAAAAGGCCTGAGGTGGCCGAAGTTATCTTGGAGCCACTGTGCCGCCGCCTATGCACTAACGCCCATACTAAGGTTAGGGTTTTGTTACTGGAACCAATGGCTGTCAAATGATGGTGGTGGTGGACAGATAACTGGAACGACGACAACATCGATCGCTTGAGTTCAGGATTTTCATGTCGTCAATTAGCCACATACGGCGATCAATCAGGGCGAACCTTGGATGATTTTTGATTTGGAGGTCGAGGGGAGTCGAACCCAAGTGGTGATGTCAACTGCAATGGCCAGAGAACATTGGAAAGGTGTCGAAAATTTATTGCAGATTGTCAGGTCAAATGAACAGGGAACTGAGTCGCCCGGTTTGGCCATCAGGTCCATATATGGAGAGATGTGCAATTCACATTTTTGCCCTTGCCTTTGCTTATTAATTTCTCCATCGATTTAACTTTAAAAACGGTTTTCGTCTACATATTTGTAGGATCAAGTTATTCGAAAACACCCGAAAGGACTATGAACTTTTAATGACTAATTACGAAAAATTAAACTTTAACTAAGAAACCAAAAATCGAAAATTAATGAAATTAAAATATTTTCACGAAATTGCAAGGTATGGTAATTGTACAGTGACGTTTGGGGATGAGGTGAGTGGTGGGATAGGTGGGCTCGATTGTTTTTCTAATTTTTCTTATGAAATATTATAATTTTTTGTACTTTTACAATAATAGAAATTTAAAAATAATAGAAATTTAAAAATAATGAAATTTTTAGAAATATTAGGAAATTTTATGAAATATTTGATATATTAAAAATTTGTAGGAAATATTTGAAATATTAAAAAATTTTGGAAATATTAAAAAAAAAAGGAAATATTAGATATATTAGGAAATTTCAGAAATATTAGGAATTTTTATGAAATATTAGATATATTAAAAAATTTACGAAAATATTAGAAATTTTTTAGGGAATATTATAATTTTTTTTAAATATCAGAAATTTGTAGAAATCATTTATATTTTAGGAATATTAGAATTTTTAAAAATATTTGCCATTTTTTCCACAAATGTCGTCGTCACGCACTGTCCAGGCAAGGCACGATCAAGTCGTTTATGGCCCACGACATATGGGTGCAGACATCGAAGTCAACGTGCGGTTGAGTTGCAAGATAGAAGCCATCATTTGCACCAAGTACCCCATGAAAGCCTCTAAATGGAAGAAGCTTGCCCCCTGAGGTGAAGGAGGCAATGATGGCATTGTTCTCGGTAAGTTTTTGTATTTTTTTATAATTAATATTTAATTAGTTTTACTTATTCAATGTATTTTTTTAAACTAACACTTGTATTTTGTCTATTTGAGGACAACTTCAAGATTGACATGTCCTAGTCGTGTATGTCCGACTACATAACCTAGCTGTGGACTTATCGGTTCAAGAAGAAGATGCATGAGCTGCACAACTACCACGAGACATTTTCATCTCATGATGAAGCTCTGATCCATCCCCCTAGATTATGTGGAAAGGATGGACGAGTAGCATTGACTCTGCAATCATTTTCAAAGCTTCTAATTTTTGAAGATGGATGTCTTCTAAATTGAAGTAGTTCTACATGGACCCAATGCGCCACTTAGAGTAATTTTTTTTCTTCAGCTTAAATATTATTGTTTGAACATTTCAGTTTTAATATAATTAAATTTTTTTTTGTTGTGATATCTTTTAAGTTTTAATTAATTAATGTTATTAATTTAAAAAAAAATTAAATATTTTGCCCAACCAATACATTCATCGAGAATGTATTTTGTGATTATTTATTTATTTTCTTTATATTACTTGCTCAAGGAAAAGACGTTGGGCAAACCTTCTTTTAATTTTTTTTATGTGCATAAAATACAATGTTGACTAACGAAAACCTTTTGTCGATCATGTTATCTTCATCTGGCCAAGTTGGTCAACACGTTTTGCTCAATGGAATTTTCGTTGGTAGTTTTGTTGGGCAAACACAACTTCTAAAATTCATTGGCCCAAACTTGGATTAACATTGTTTGGGCAACTAATTTTGTTCGACAAAGTTCAGTCGGGCTAAATGTTAGACAACGAATGCTTATTCGGCCCGATGAAAGGCTTTCATCGGGAAAGGGGGTTTTTTTTTTTGGTAGTGAATAAACATTCTACACCCACATGAATTCTTTCAACTTTGAATTATAAGAAGGGAAATTTTATTTGAACTCATGTAACCTTTTTCTATACCCAATTTACTTTCTACACCCATATTATTTTTTATTAAAGAATTAATATCTTTTTAAACCCAAATTTATTACCTAAACTACCGTCTTAAACCTAATTCAAAATGTAAAGTTATCTTTACATCCATTTATAAAATAAAATCTATAATTGAATAATATTTTTTTTTTTAAAGAGGCTCGAAAAGAAAAAAAAAAAAACATTACGCATCCTTTGCCCCCTACTTCCTAGCATTTCCTATGGGTACTATTTTTTTTGCTACAAAACCAAGATATTTGCTCTCTTTACCAAACCAAGACACATGCGCTCTCTCAAGTTCTTAACCAAACGAGTTACTTGGTTTGCTATCAACACCACCACAATAAATAACCCCCATCGCTTTCTCTTATCAAACCAACTTTCCTCTCTGCAAATTTTTGTTCTTTCGAAAAAGGACAACTCCAGTGTTAATGTAAGTTGTCATTGTTTGTCTGATCAATTGTTTTCTCAAAAATTTGAAGCACTCCTAGTTTTAGAACTAATTATCTGGGATTAAACAATTCATCTTTTCCTTACTTTCTGATCAATTTGTTTCTACAATTTGTTGGATTATAATCAACGAGTAAATTGATCGTTTAAATGGCTGAAGAAGTTAATTGTAAATTCTAATGAGAAGCTGCAACCATTAGAAGCTGCAAAACTAAGTGCTTATAGATGCAAGTTTAAGAAGAGCCATAAGACCAACCAAACCAACACGACAACAAATTGACAAACAAGCATGGCAACAAATCGAGTCATACCTTAGTTGGAGAAATGAAAACTTCAAAATCACCGTTCATCGATTAAAAAACTTATTTTTCTCTATAAGAGGATTTTAGCCAGAATGAATGCAGGACAAACAAGGAGTGATGTATGGTTTAATTATAGTGGGTGAGTTTATTGATAAATTTTAGTTTTATTTTTAATTCATCTTGTACTTGATGGTAATTATGCAATAGGGAAAAAATGACAATTAACATTTAAAATTTAAGACTAAAATTTATGAGCAAATCAACACACATGATTTGCTTTGTGAGCACACTGTCAAATCCACATGACAATCAAATATCTAGCCACCCAGATATACAAGTTCTACTAGATAATTTTAATATGATCT